AAAGTGCGGTGCAATGTTAGCACTATTTAAGAAACATGTTTGGTTAAGTGTGGTGCAACACCATCACTAAGGGATGTGCTTGGCTAAGTGGTGCAACACTAAGAGGCGTGTTTTCGCAGTTATGGCCTTGGTGTATCCTATCAACACAAGTTAAGCGTCAAATTAGGATGCCGAGTGGGGCTTGTCGTGTGGTGCATGATGTGTGGCCACTTAGTGAGTTATGGAGATATCTAGGGGCAGCAGGTGAGTAGATAGGGCATCAACCACTCTATCATTGCATCTCTTGCAAGGCAAAACCAAATTCGAGTAACTAAACAAATCAAATCAACATCTAGATCTTGCCACTTTTGCAACGCTTAAATCTAACTACCAATCCTTTCCACACCATTGTGGCCACAAATATTCCATTACTTATCACACAAGACGTAGACAAAAGGAATAACCAAATATACAGTTCTCTCACTAATTAAAATGTACTCCGTATTGAAACTATGTCAATTGCATAATAAGAGTAAAAATGGGGTTCTACTTCTACATAAATACCACTCCACTATAACACTAGGTCGAATTGGATACAAAGGAGTGAAGGACATACAGTTAGCCAATGAAACATCTGAGGAAAAAACTCACAATTACATTCAGATTGAAATCTCATATCCTTAAAGCACGTGAATCGCATCAATCACATGCCTCTATTGTAAACTAAAATATTGAACCAAACAAGTTTACTTGAAAAGACAAGAAACACTAGTCATACTCTAATTCATCAGGCGTTATTGGTCTTTTAAGAGGAATAACGGATTTTTTGTCAACATCCCTCGATAATGCTTTCCTCATATCTGAAAATAAATTACCAAGAAATATAAGTGTTAGATAATGTTGTAACAGCTTAAAAAATTTATGCAAATGCTCTTTCATAGAGATTCATAATTAAACAGTAAAGGAAATTACCTAATCCATCTTCTTCACCAGAATAATAGCGTAGAACTCGTCTATACACCACATATCCAAGCTGAGACACATGGACAAACAGTATTATATTGAGCATAATCAAATGTAACCATTTATACAGAATGCACATACTTTTCATTTCAAAAATTGAAAGAGAAAAAAAGAAAAAGTGGGGGAATGGTTACTAGCCTCAAGATGACTACTAATCCATTTTTCTAATCTCCATCTAATTTTTCATTAGCATATCTGATGCACTTATCTTTTTGTTGGCATATCATTTTCTTTCGCTTAATAATTTTTTTGTAAAGGGACAAAAGGGTTAAATCCTCCCTAGCATGGATGAGGTTTTAAAGCCAAGAGAGCACCACTGTTCTTTTCAAAACTAATATACATACAAAAAAGTCACTTGTCCGATGAAATAAGGCTGATAACTTCAACCAGGCCTTCAAAGATCTAACACTAAGGAAATGGTTCACATCATTTACATGAGTTCAAAGAAAACCTCTATGGTTTCGTGCTTCTTGCCTCTGGCAAATTTTAAAGTTGATTTCAGGAGATTCTGGGTCTAACAACTATTTCCGCCCAAGCATCAGGCTAGGCAGTGTGACTCTTAGCATCAGCTAGGCAGATGATAGTCCACAGGACCTTTATGAAGAATAATAAAGGGGGCAAGGATATTTCTATTCAACGATGAATAATTTAAAACGAATGAAAATAGAGGGAAAGCTGAAGTGGACTGCTATATACAAGGTATGTAGTACAGAGTAGATTGTGTTTACTCTGTGAGTCTCTGGTGGCTTTACACCTATTACTCTGTGAGTCTCTGGTGGCTATACACCTATCACTCCTTTTCTCTACCCAAAAAAGATGATGTATTCATAGCATAAAATCTATTATTCCGGTTGGAAGAGTGGGACCATGGAGGGGTTAAACGAGGGAGAGGGAGACCGAAAATGACTTGGTTGGAAGGAATTAGGAAGGATGTGAAGTATATGGATTCGCATGAAGATGAGGCATTGGATCAAAAGGGATAGAGGAGAAAGATTTTTGTCAATGACTACACATAATAATCACTTTTAGTTCATGCAGCCGACCCCACATGTGGGTTAAGGCTTTGATTGATTCCCCCTCTTATCCTCTTCCATACTTCTCATTATTTCTTCACACAGAAAGAATAGTTGAAAGAATTTGAATCTATCTAACTAAAGACTCGTTAAACTCATTCTGCAAGTCAAAAGTATTCTAACCATTTTGGAGCATGGAAATTAAGTTTGTAGTGCTCTACTCTAATTAGGTTTAATTTACCATTGCAAAATGTTTAATAGTAAATCTAGATTGTATCTTACTAACAGAATGAAACTTTAAACAACTGACAAATTCAAGCAAGGGAAAGAAATAATCTTGTTCAGGTTGCTTGAGTTTTCATAGAATTCTCAAATCCGTCTCACAATCACAATGCAAAAAAGCAAGCCACTACCATAGGTAATTAGTCAAAATTCCAAGAAACCATCTTGTACAATGTACCAGAAGCTTGTGAATAATGTTTTAAAAGCTCAAGGAGTCAAGGCCCACTGAGGCAATAGGGGTATTAGAGCCTAGGCACAAACTAGAGGCATAAGGCGCAGCCAACATGCATACTACACCTCTTCAAAAATGCTTCGACTCACGCACACTTATCATCAGTTATCTAACAGGAAACTACTGCATAGCCATGTTTCCCACAGATTAGCATTCAGATCTTCTCTTTCAACTCATAATTTAAAACTGAATAAATGACCAGAGAAGACCAAACCAGCTCTAGTTTTGGTAAATACAACCCTCAATTAAAGATCTAGGGTTCATAACTGATGAGTCCACTCCCTTTTCTGAGGGTCCGACCCGGATTTTGTGTCCATCCAGATCGTGTCGTCTCGGCACCAGTACGGAGGGATGGTGGGCTGAGTCTGAGATCACATCTATAGGAACTTAATTTTAGTCATTATTTTCTATATCCATGGATTAAAAAACGGTGGTCTCCCCAACCAAGGATCCACTAATGATGTTGAGTTGTAAGCTCCCTTATACTTATTTGACTGATAGACCAAAAAAATTAGAAAATCTAGACCATGGAATCGTTAATGTAATCAATCATATGGTTTTGCCACTTGAAATATGACTTATCACATGAAAAAATGGTGGAGATCATGATTTAAGCTATTTCTTCTAGTTAACAGAGTAGTTGGGTACTTTGGCCTAATTCATACTAAAAATGCTTATATCCCTATGTTTGTTTGCGATTTCATGATCAAGTTGAGCGGTGTAGCCCTTGACTTAGGCCTATGTATCATTGAGCTTACCCTTTTCAGTCTTACAGTAGTTAATATTGATACCTTAGTATCAAAAACTCTTCAACAATTGAGCTTAGCTTATTTAAAAAATAGCGTTTGGTGGTTAATTCACTGCCTCACATGAGTTCGACAAGACTGACCCTTTCTTTTCCTAAGCTTTAAATATTGAGACAAAAAAAGGTTATAAATTGATAGGTTGGTAACACTCTATCCACCTCTGAAGTATACTAGTCTATTATAGAAATAATATTCTTTTTTTCATAACTACGGATATATCCTGGCCACATGCCTTTTATAAAAACGTTAAACAACAAAAGAAATCAGCCATATGATGGAGTAGGTTGAGGCATCACATCAATGCAAATGTTAAGCTGTAGAAAGAGGGCCAGTAGAACTAATTCGTGACTAGTACAACAGAGAGAAGCATGAAATTGTAAAAAAGCTCCATGTAAAGCATTTAAATTTTTAAACAGAAACCAGAACTAAACAAGTGCATAATGAAGTCAAGGATACTTACTTTTTCATACATCTTTATAGCTGGTACATTTGATGCCCGGACAAAAAGGTCAACAAAGTAAGCCTTATCACTGAGAAGCAAAACAAATCTTGTCAGTAGGGGAAAATCTGAGCAATATCTGACTAGTTTTAACAGTTCTATACATCTGCTTGAAAAAAAAAAAAAAAAACACCATAGAACAGAACACACAAATACCCGCAAACTATAACAAAACCATAAAGGCAAACTAAGTCTATGAATTGCTTGCTATGCTTGAGCTTCAAACAAATTATGGTTCAGTAGAACAAGAAGCGTACTATGCTCGACTGAGGAAAACTCAGTTTAGTAAAAAGCCATAATGCTTAAAGAAAGCAAACTCTAACAGCCCAACAATCGAGTTAGCTCAGCTTATTTGCAATTCATGATTATAACTCTGGGCTCATGTGCTTAACTGTGTACAGTATTATAGTCTCAAATAAAATTTCATTACCTTTCACATTTTTAAAGGTTTATTACAAGATTGTGCTCTTAGCCTCTTATGTTTAAAACACCCCTTCCATTAAGAAGAAAAACCGAGAAAATATGCACCAAAAGATTGTTTCAGTATACTTCAAGAATCAAGGTGCAGAAACAAAACATTATTAAATTATATGCAATGAGATAATAACAATCAGATTTAAACATGACTCATCAACTCATATATACAAAGACTAAAATTCCATGTATCCCATCCACTACTCCATCAGGTGTTAAATATTAAGTATGGCATCTTTCATTTGGTTTTACTCACCACATTGCCAAATATATGGCCATTGCAAAGAAAGCAAAATATATATTTTAGAAACACTGAACTCACATGAATTCATCCAATTGATCCAAATGGTCTCTATGTATTATTAAAAAGATTTTTGTTTTTTCAGAGGACTAAAGCAGTAAAGCACTAAACTATAATCAATCCAATATCCATAAAGCACATTCCATGTAAAGAGTGGCTCAAGAAAAAGAATATTCCCTTATGGTATTAATGCCTCCACGCAGGATTTTGATGGCTTTCCAGAAGTTAATACTTTGTCTATTAATCAGCAAGATACTTACATTTTGTCACTGATGTCTTCCAGTAAATTCATCAACTTCTTAGCTAACTGTTGTCGGCGATACTCTGGTGCAACACTCACTGCAGTAACATGACCATGCCAAGACTCACCCTGGCCTTCAACTTTTCCCATAACTACAGCAATTAGGCAGAAGAAAGTTACAGTAAAAATTAATTAAAAAAAAAAAAAAAATTGTTACAGCATAAGAGGGTATAATTATTCACTTGCAAACAATTAATGACAGATGCCAAACCATCCAAGGAGGCAAGCAGCACAAGTATTGCAAGTCCATAAGTATATTCACCATCTTACAGCTAATAGTATCAGGAATAATTTAACCAGTGAAATATAATAAGTATCATAGAGCTTCTTTCTAGAGTATGGATAACGCAACTTTTTAGTTTCAAGATGGCCTGTCGAAAGATTTCCATTATCAGGATGGACTTTGGCGCATTAATAAAACAAACCAAACAAATATTAACTACGTGCAATCATTTTAAGTCAATTATAGTGCTGGCATCCACCACATGTCAATCCTCGTACTACGCAGAACCACAAAATGATGAAATGCATGAGATTAAAGAGAAAACAACCAAACTTCATTGACTGCTCACTACATCTTGAAGTAATTGTCACATTGCCCCAGATCACTATTCAGATTTTCACATGTTTTGACAAAATTATTTCTAAAACCTTCTATTATAGTTATAGTTTGTGTCTCTTCTTCCCTTTCTTCATTATTCATAAGTATAGAATCCAAGACAGACCAATTTACATTTCAGGAATTATGACAGCTTATTTAGACATCCATGACTATTATATTAAAAAGAAGCAATTATTATACTATCTTTAATTCACACTCATGCTTAATTTGGTATAATTTTGGGTGTTTGTTATGGCCTTGTTTGCAAAAATGGCTTATAACTAATTAGTTCTGTTGATTTCTGGCTTTAAGCTTATTAATGCTGATTATTTTTTTTTTTTTTAAAAAGGCCTACAATTAGCAGGATAAGAGCCCTTTCATAAGTTAAAAGCGTAGTATAGTAGATTTTCTGGTCTCCTTTCAATCAAAAATTGAACAAAGTGGTCATATTCACATATTAACAATGTGAACAACTATTTTTCCCAAATATCTTAAAAGTATCTAATATTTCCAAACATCTCAAAAAAAACAACTAATACTACAAACTACTAACTAGTGAATCAGCCGACAAATAATTTTCATAAGAGGCCTTTACTAATCAATTACTTTGCCATATTCATACTCAAAATCCAAGAAGGGAGAAGAGAACAAATATGCAAGAATTATAAGTACTCGATTTTTGTTCTCTTTTTCAAGAAGCATTCTAAGAGGATCCAAGGAAAACCAACCTAAAACTGATTGTGATTTCCATTTAAAAAAAGCCATCAATGACCAACCAAGTATGTCATTGTAAAATGGCTACGAGAGAATGGCAAACGGTGATCAAAGTACACGCAATCATGAAGATCAAGAAGTACAAACCAATGCATCTATAGGAGAGGTATAGATGGAAAACATACTGTAACCCATAATTCGATTGCCAGGGCCTTCAGCAACATGGAAATAATCCGGCCATCTCGCCAAGTAGGTCATGTAAAATGACATGTTGAACTGCTCAAAGTCGCGAAATTGCCACATAAATGAATATCATTTGTCAGTGTCTCAGTGCCACAGAATTAGGTGTACTAGATAAGCTCAGAATGAATTTACTTACAGTTTCAGTGAGATGATCCAAATTTACAGAAGCAAAGCGAAGAAGATCATTGCAACAAAATTTACGAATGGTTGTCATTATACTACAAGAAACTTCTGTAAACAAGAAGAAAACCAAAATAAAGGCAGATTAATATTACCCAAATGATTGAAAATATACAGATATACCAGAAATCAAACTAGAAAGGTGGAAACTAGCATAAATTTGAGAAAAATCCACTAAAAATATAGGGTACAAAAGATGAATGAGAATTAGGGTTTACAAAAAGAATTGCCCAGAAAACGAAGCATCTAATTGCAATGAATTTAGGGGAATATCATCAATTACATATATAATCAAGTTAGGGGAATAATTAGAAGTAAATAAATGGAAAATTGATGAAAATGGGTGCATTGAAAAACCTGAGGATTGATAAAAATGAGAAAACTTGTGCAATTTGACAAGAAAAGAGGGCGAAGATGAGCAAGAGGGTTCGTCAATGTCGCCGGAGAAAATGTGGCGGTGAGCAGCCGAAGACAAAGAGTAAGAGATATCAAAATGCAAACAAACTAATGCAAATAGCAAATTTTCATAATTATTTTTTACTCCCTCAAAAAAAGGCGTCTTGTCAATTACTACTAGTAATTGTAAAAATAAAAGTTTTTAATTACTACGGAGTACCTTTAAAGTAATGTTGCTAATTAGGGGTGAAAGTAATTCGGATTAAAATCGAACCAAACTGAATTAGGGCTTGTTTGGCATCAGTTTTGGTTTTCAATTTTCTGTTTTTTTTTAAACCAAAAACCAAAAACAGGAAACAAGAAAAAGGTATTTCTACTTTTCTATTGTCAGTTTTCAAAATTATCATAATCTTAATAAGTTTATATAATTTTTGATTCATTATGGGACACATATCATATACTTTTAGAAAACAAAAAACCAAAAAAACAATTCGGTTTGGGTTTTTTTTTTAAATTCAAATTGGATCGGATTGGAAAAATTTAAAAATATGGATTACGGATTGGTTTTGGTTTGGGGTTTAAAAAACCGAAAACCGAATTACAAACCGAATTTTGACCCAATACTTTAATCCCATGGTTTTTTTTTTTCAAATTATCCAACCACTTTCCCCTTTCATATATAAACTTATAAAAAAACCTAATTCTCAATTCTCCTTTTTCAATATCTTACTCTCTCACAAAGAATGTAGTTAACAAGAAATGATTGTAGGAATTTTCTGGGTGAAGTTCGAGTTTCATGTTTGAATGTTGCAAAAGAAAGGAACAAATTTCGGTTTGGATTGGATTCTAATTTGAAAAAACCGAATTAATTTGATTTGGATTGGATTGGATCGAATCTTAATTTGGTTTTGATTCGGATTGAGATTTCCGAAACCGAATTAATTCGGATTGGATTTGGTTTTGGCTATAATCCAAACCGCAAATCGAACTTTCACCCGTATTGCTAATTACTACCTAGTGTATGTGAGAAAAAAAAAAAAGGTTAAGTGTAAGTGACTTCCGAGAGTGCATTTTAAGCATTGGTGAACAGTTGAAGGTGTATACTGAAATTAGATTAAAGGAGGCAAATTTACGACAATAGAAGTTGAAACCTAATAAGGGAAAAGGAAAAGAGAAAACAAAAACATGTTAAATACTACCTTTAAAGTAATGTTGCTAATTACTACCTAGTGTATGAGGAAAAAAAACAAAAAAAAAAGTTAAGTGTAAGGGCAAAGCAGTGGCTTTCGAGAGTGCATTTTAAGCATTGGTGAACAGTTGAAGGTGTATACTGCAATTAGATTAAAGGAGGCAAATTTACGACAATAGAAGTTGAAACCTGATAAGGAAAAAGGAAAAGAGAAAACAAAAACATGTTGAATTACGAGAGAGTGAGGGATAGCTCCAATAGTTAGACCTTCCCTCCCGGTTCCGCCTTGGTCGACAACTGCCTTCAAGCTCTCTTCAAGACTTTAGTTGATTTAGGTTGCTAGCTACTCTAAATCCTAACGAGTGACTACATGGGGGCTAGTCACCTCACCTACGGGCTCGCTTCGAGCTTGGGGTATAATATCCTCAACTACATGATTATGCCGAGCCGAGAGAACTGGAGCTTGTCTAGTAGCATCTTTATATTGGGGATGCCTAGTGTTCACCATAGCTTTTTGTTTGTAACCCCACAAACGGTGCCACCTATTTCTTGAAACATAATGCTCCTGAGAACGGTAGGGTAACAAGAGGTCCTAGAGTCTAAAACCTATTGTCCAAAAGTTCTTAGAAAAGTCCTAGATCTCTGCCTTGCAAGAACGTCTGAAGACTCGGCCTACAAGAAAGAGAAGGTTAGCTTCCCCGGGGGTGTGACCCGAGAAATCCCCTCGGATGCTTAAGATAGCGAATTGTACTTTCGAGAGTGAAAAAGTAGAGAGAGTGTGTGTAGTTTTATAGGGAGAAAGTAGATAGTGAATGAGAGATAATTAGGTAAAGTTACCATCATTAATCCTTTGAGAGATACTTATAGATGTACTTTCAAATGACAAAGTTGTACTTTGGTGGACATGTTAGGGATAAACTTGTAATTTATGATGAATAATGATGGGTTGGGTCATGGAGGGGTATTTTCGTCATTCTGATACATTGGACTTTGGACATGGACTAGGCCCGACCAAACAGATATTATACAATGCTAAAACTTATTATTTTAGTTGTAATCCTTATCAACCCCAGTCACAAGTCAGAACTTATATGAACTTATTTTTCCTTAATATTTAGGATGAACAAAAACATGGGTTATATATAACCAAAGTTTCCCTTAATTTCACTAAAATTATATCTTATTGTAGACTCCTAAATTTCTCAAAAACCAAACCCGATGATGAAGAACCTTTCATCGTCATTATTAGTCTAGTTGAGTATCTAATCTTGGAGTACTTAAATCCATATTCAATCCCAATACATTTCATAAACCAACCCAATTCATAGCCTATTTCCCCAAACCATAAATTATTTTCCTCTTTTCGTGCCTTTAAACCCAAAATAATTCATTTCATGTCACTTAAAGTCATTCATTTCGTGTCCTTTTTATAAATACGTTTAAACTAGTTTATTTTGGTCCATAATCTGGGTCCAATGATTGTATAGTTGGATGGGGTTTGAAAAGAACTTTCTAACGATATATTATAAGCCCAAATCCGAGTTATAACTTATAAGTTATAATCAAAATACTAAACTGAGCCTAAACAGAACTTTAGCCCACCTTACCTAAAACCCAATGATCATGTAGAGGGTCCAAAAGCTTTAATCACATTCCTAAACCAATTAGGATTAATTAGAAGCTTCTATAAGTTTCTAAAAGATCTTAATTATCTCTTTTGAAAAGATAAGATTAAAGAATTTGAAATTGAATAAAACTGCTCTTTTTGAAACTCCTAATATTATTGGAATTGAGAGACGTTCAAAGATAGTCAGATATGATTTTCGTGCCTCATATTTTTTTATCCAAATCTTAAATGGTAGGATAGCCCTTAAAATTATCTTTCAATGATTTATTATAATATTAATTACGAGCTATAACGAAAAAGATTTGATTGAAATACCAAACTTTATCCAAAACTGACACCGTCCCACTATTTCGACCATATCTTTTATTTTACAAACTATTTTAATCTTATTCCAATTGGGTTAGAAATTAGATTTTAACCTTTTATTTTACAAATTAGATATGATAAAAACAAAAACCGCAAAAACTGCTGTCTATCGCAAGAGTTTTATCCCGATTCGAATTTGATCTTTCCTTGATTCTTCGACCCTTCTTTTTTCTTTATAAATAGTGGTCATATCGCCCCTTTTTCAATCATCAACAAGGTTGATCACAAAATCATTCTCTTCTCCCTCTTTAGCCTAAATACTAGTCACCCTATTCTCTCAAAATACTTCCCCTAAGCACTCCAAGGAGTCCATACTTGACCCGATGTTATGTCCTTAAACCAAGGCGCAAAAAGGTAGAATTAACCGAGGGTTTTGGACCAAATCAACTCTACTTTTTATTTAATTTAATTATTTCAATTTTATTAATATTTTTAATGAAGTTACCAACAATTTATTCATGATGTAGCAAATTTAAGGAATGCGCGTAATGTAAGTTATTAATTAATTTAATTACTTATTTTATTTTTATATTGCCAGTACAATGATTAGGTTAATATATATTTGATTTGACTAACAATTTATTGTTAAATTGCTTCAAATATTAATGTTTATTCTAATATATTTTTTATGATTATGAATGGGGTGTAACCTTCACGGGTCAATCGTTGTTGCCTTTCATTGTCCCTTTATCGTGGTTGCCTTTTATGATCCGTGAATGGTTTTAAAGTTCCCTAAAAATTTGTTGGGCTCCCTACTTTCCTTGTCCTTATCGTATATGTCAATTCACACTTTCTATGAATGCTAAGAATATTCACACATGCTTAACGTAGGCGCACTTCAACGACGCTTACAATTTGGCGACTCCACTGGGAAGATTCTTGGTTATTTATCGATTTGAGTGATCGGTATTTAATTAAGATGAGTGGATGAGACTTGAAATATTCTTGAAAATATTCTTGTGATTAAATTGGCATTTTTGCATATGCATAGACGTTTTAACGTCGTATTTCAGGTCTGCCCGTAGGAAAAATTGGATAACCTGGTCGTGAACGAAGAAAATAGGGACACTAGTTAGATTTCCTTACTGTCGCGCCACGACAGAACTTGCCGTGTCATGGCGCAGGGAACCGTGACGCGGTGTCCAGCACTGTGACACAGTATATTCTGCCGTGTCGCGGCAGTCTTGAAATCCTTCCAGTGGCCTTATTTCTCTTATCGCAATCAGCTTCCTTCGATTTTTCTGAAAAAACGTATGTATTCTACATACGTCTTAGCCTTAGGGGGTTTAAGCTCTATCAACTTAAAAATGCTCATGGCAATAAAGGTTCATCCGAGCTATTAAATCCACCCAAACCATGGAGTCGAGTTCGATTTCATCACGAACTCGTGGAGCCGCCCATTGGCATACACTATTAAGGGAGGCTGCCTTGGTAACGCGTCCAAACTCTTAACCATGGTACCCTTTTGACATCAAATAAACTTGACCATAGTGGAACATTGAACTTGACCTTAGGTTGTGAACTCTTCTTTGCTTCATTGTGCTTACGTGCCCTATGTGTGATTGTTTTGAACTAAACCTTAACGAGTTTTCTTTGTCTATAACGGACTATACTCACTTAGTATTAGCGTAAACACTAAAATAAAAAATACTGAAAAAACACAAAAACACCTGGAACTGATCACCGCACCACGGCAAAAATGTCGCGTCACGACAGTTAGTGCAGCGTCACGGCAATTAGTGCCGTGTCACGACAGGTTGTACTACGACACGTTACAGTTTGCCATGTCACGGTGCCCAAGGAATAAGTCTAGTCAGCTTTGTTTTCTTCCGTGCTAATTTGGTCCTCGCGTCAGTCATTTTGGTTACTATTCATATGTCTAGCCATACGATCATACCACGAGTCTTATAATATCACTTAAACACTCACGAGTCAAGTATA